AATTTACAAAAGAAAGAACTTTTAACGAGAGTTACAGTTTCACGTGGCTGGGAAAGCATCACAATCATGGTGGAAGGCAAGAAAGAAGTCACATCTTACATGGATGGCAGCAGGCAAAGGCAGAGAGCTTGTGCAGGGAAACTCCCTTTTTTTAAACCATCAGATCTCATGAAACTTGTTCACTATCAGGAGAACAGCACAGGAAAGACCTGCCACTATGATTCAACCATCTCCCATCGGCTCCCTCCCACATCACCTGGGAATTATGGAAGCTACAAGATGACATTTGAGTGGGGACACAGAGCCAAGCCATATCATGGAATAAACAAGATAAATGATTTATTGACTCAATTAGCTGAAATTTTTAGGGGCTTGAATGACTGGATCCAGGTGCTCCAATAATGTCAGAAGTCTGATTCTCCATTTCTCTTTTCTGCTTTCCTCTTTGTTGCTTTTATTCTCAGTAAATCTTTTACCCCATCTGGTAGCAAAAAAAAAGTTTGTACCACTCCTGACCAGCATGCCTGATAGAAAAAAAAGTATATGTGTGTGCATCTTTCTAGTGGTCTCAGGGAAGTTTTAGGGAGAGCTTTCTTTGTTGCAACCTGAGTCATATCCTCATACCTGAACTTATCATCTTAGGAAGTGGGCTCTTGTTTGTGCCTGGACAGATCAAATTGATTTTATCCCAGGTCCAACCAAGGAGGGAAGAGTTAGCATAGGCATCATGCCTTGGCAGACATTTTAGCTCATGCCTCATCCAAATCATTTTGTGGCCTCAGTTAATCTTTATGTTCAAAAAGATTCTGAACAAATGAGTTAAAGCAGATTTTGAGGCTTTCACTCTTTCCACTAGCACTTTAACCAAGGCCAATTGCATCAAAATGTGTCTATATCACAACCTAATAAATGGTGAGATGCAAACCAATTTTTATAAAATAGAATTTTGTGTGTCATGACATCTTGATAATAATATCAAGATATGGTCAGATTTCTTGCAAATTGTTTAAAGTGGAGAGATTTCTGAATCAGGAGACAATCCTGACCTTTGACTTCAGATAAGACAGCCACTGCCTGGGATAGGGGCGGGGTGTACTGCAGTCTGATAACTTATGGTCAGTCAACTAGTCAATGGTAAATCAGAATTACAGTCTGCTCTGTCTGCTAGTAATTCCTGCAGTAAAAGCCAGTCAAGTTTCAGTGTTACAGATGGCCTATGGTATTGGTTTCACATGAATAGCTTCCTTCCTTTCCTATACAATTATATACTATTGTCACTTTAATAAAGGAAATAACATGCAAGTCAAATTCGTTTCTTAAGTGTAAAAACTCTTGGACTGCCAAAACTTATTTTGCAATGAAGATTAAAGACTTAAATATAAGACCTAACACAATAAAAACCCTACAAGAAAACCTAGGCAAAACCATTCAGGACATAGGCATAGGCAAGGACTTCATGACTAAAACACCAAAAGCATTGGCAACAAAACCCAAAATAGACACATCTAATCTAATTAAACTCCAAAGCTTCGGTATAGCAAAAGAAACAATCACTAAAGTGAACCAGTAACCAACAGAATGGGAAAAAACTTTTGCAATCTACCCACCTGACAAACGGCTAATATCCAGATCTACAAAGAACTGAAACAGATTTACAAGAAAACAAACCCATCCAAAAGTGGGTGAAGGATATACACAGACACTTTTCAAAAGAAGACATATATGAGGCCAACAAACATATGAAAAAATGCTCATCATCACTGGTCATTAGAGAAATGCAAATCAAAACCACATTGAGATACCATCTCACACCAGTTAGAATGGTGATCACTAAAAAATCTGGAGAGGATGTGGATAAATAGGATAACTTTTACACCATCGGTGAGAGGTAAATTAGTTTAACCATTGTGGAAGACAGTGTGGCAATTCCTCAAGGATCTAGAGATAGAAATTCCATTCGACCCAGCAATCCCATTACTGGGTATATATCCAAAGGAATATAAATGGTTCTATTATAAAGACACATGCACACGTATGTTCATTGCAGCACTGTTTACAATAGCAAAGACCTGGAACCAACCCAAATGCCCATCACTTATACACTGGATAAGGAAAATGTGGCACATGGAATACTACACAGCCATAAAAAAAAAAAAAAAACGATGAGTTTGTGTCCTTTGTAGGGACATGGATGAACCTGGAAACTATCATTCGCAGCAAACTGACACAAAAACAGAAAATCAAACACCGCATGTTCTCACTCATAGGCCAGTGTTGAAAATGAGAACACTCGGACACAAAGAGGGGAGCATTACACACTGGGGTCCGTTTGGCGGGGCTACAGGAGGAATAGTGAGAGGGAGTGTTGGGGAGGGATAATGTAGGGAGAAATGTCAGATATAGGTGATGGGGGGATGGTGGCAACAAACCACCTTGCTATGAATGTACCTATGCAACAATCTTGCATGATCTGCACGCGTACTCCAGAATCTAAAGTACAGTTAAAAATAAATAAATAAATACATACATACATACATACATACATAACTAGTAAGAAAAATAAAACTTCTGGGTCAATGCTCCCCAAGAGGTTTTTACTTTATAAGGAAGTCATTTATAGAAGGCACCAGAGTGAAATTGCAATTCAAATGAAGGGTGGGGTCTTTATCCACAGAGCATCTCCAGGAAAAAAGCCAACAGAGCTATTGTCCCCAAAACCAAATTAATACAGTTCATTCATGAATTCATTCCACAAATATTGGCTGCCTATCATACTCTAGTCATTGTTGATGATTGTTTCTCTCATATAAATACAGTTATTACCTTAAAAAAAAGACCAAGGAGTGAATATAAAGCTAATAAAAAATATTCAGCACTATTTATATAAATTTTACAAGTCACGAAAAAGTCAGTGAGAAAAAATATTATCTTTTATGTTTTTCAAGTGGTCATTTGTTGGTAGGAAACTATGAGTACAAATAGTTTTCCCTCTTCACCAGGGAAGTACCAAGCCCTAGGAGGCTAAGAGGATGGCTACATTGCCTAGTGAAGGGATCTGGGGCAAGTAGCTTAACCCCCATCTACCCCTAGGTTTTAAACTACCATTCCTTATAAAGCTTTTTATTTCAAAGGAATACTATACATTGGATATTTTACATATTTAGTGTTAAATCCACAATGTTGTGACTGATAAAATACAAATCTTTCATCCTTCTCTTATTTTCCGTATGTTGCAGGGTGATCTCTCTCAAATGCCAACCTATTTATTATGTCCTGCATCTGCTTTTCCACCTTCAATATCTGCTTTCTTCCGTGCTTAGTACAATACTGGCACATAGTAGATGCCCAGTTCAGAGATGTTGAGTAGCTGAGCTATATTCAATTCAGTATATGTTTTCTGGATTCGCATTGACATTCAAGGCAGTGTGCTCAGGAGTACACAGATAACTAAGACACAGTCTTTCTCTTCACATTGTTTTGCATGTGGTAAGTGTGGACATTTGTGGATAAGTCATGAACCAAATCCTAATAAAAGGCACCCTATTCAAACTAAAGAGAGTCAGTCATAAGCAAGTGGCTATGAGAATTTAGTCTCTGACGCCAGAAATCACAGTCTCTCAGAAATTACAGTTCACTGTGGAACATTACTGTTTTGGAAGGTTGCTCTGTCTTTCATTAACTAGCTTTTAATCAGCTTTTAAAAAATAAATGAATAAAATAAGCTTTCTTTATGTGTGTGTTTCAGTTTAAAGTAGTAAAAACAATTATCATATTCATCTGTTCTGTACAAGAGTCAAGAAAATATTGGATATATATTTAAGTATTACCATAATTATAGTTTTTATTTCATTAGGCAAGTGACATCAAGATTTTTATGTGCACAGGGCTGTGTATAATAATCCATTCCTAATTGGTTACATGAAATCTATGAATCCTTTCTTGTACACTATCATGTTTTCCTAGGTGTTGATAAACTAGATCCATTAGCAAACTTTAATGTTCTTTTAAAGGTTATTTGACTTTGATTTAGAAATGTTACGTTCTCATTCATTTCATAAATATTGTCTAATGCTTTTTCTAAATGTGGGACATAATATGGATCTTATTTCTATAGAAAATTATGAATATTATCAGTAATTGCTATATTACAACCACAAGGAAAAAATATATTTGGATCATAGAGTCACAAGGTGTTTCAAAAAAATCCTTTGAAGTCGTGATTCAATATTGGTAATGTATGTAGTTTGCATACAGATAATAGTTATTACACTTTCATGTATAGCATTTAAACCACAGGATACTGAAGTTTTCATCTCCTGTTAGGAATTTTCATGTGAATATAGGACTGTTCCTCTGTCCAAACAGCTACAGATTTCCATTTTATTATTTTAAACATACAATGAATGATCATGTTTTGATTTTTTAAAAATTATTATCTCAAAGGTCTTAAAAGAATTATATGCTTCCTTTACATTGCATTATCTTATTCTGTAATGTGATAATATCCTATATAATTACCTCTCTAAATTGAAGGTAACTCTGTGAATGGGATTAATTTCTTTCTTTGTAGTAGCTCCTAGATTCCTCCCTTACCCATGACATGCAAGCCCTCAACTTTGATACAAATTATTTCAGGGCATTCTCTGTGGCGGTATCGCTCTTCCCTGCTTTTATTATAAACAGTTTATACAACACCTAAAAAGGCCTTTTGAAATAATATAATATTAAAGAGTCCCTTAATGGTTATTTCCCTGGAAGACCAACTAGGTAAGCACACAATCCCATTTATTTCAACTTCTATTACTGGTTTTGTATGTCACATGTGAGGGACCAGCCTAGGAGCATAAAAAATATTAAAAAATAAAAAATAAGTAAGTTTATGATAGCACTTTGTATTTCTGAAGTGCTCTATGAAACTGCTATGTAGAAAGGCAATGAAGAGGAATTAATTTTTATAAATATTTCATTATTCTTAATTCTTAATTGACTGATAAATTTTTATCTTTCCTGTCTTTCTTTTATGGAAATAATTTTTAAAGGACAGTCTCTTCTCAAAGTACTAAAGTTAAAAAATAGGTGTTTTATAATATCTTCCTCTGATATACTTACTAAGCTGTATTTTTAAACAATCATCATATTATACGGATGGAAATATCAATGCAAGATAGTTTACAACTATAAGATCTCATTTATTTAATTAAAGTTAGAATTAATAAGGCTTGAACTCTAACAGTAATTTAAGTGTACTTCCTACCTTGCTATCCTGTCAATGGATATTTGTTTAATGTTATATTGCAAACAAGAAAGCCAGAATTAAAAGATAATTTAAAAAAAGGAAATGTAATTTGACTAGAATTCAAAGTGCTTGGTTTTAATCCCCGCTTTGTCTGGCACTAAATGTGAGACCTAATCTCCATCTCCCACTTGAAAATGAGATCATGGCTTTGATTTCCATCATTTCCAAGGTTCATTTAATTTTAAAATAGATTTATTTTTAGATTCAATGTAGGCTTTAATATAGTTTTTCACTCCTTTAGTAGATACTTGATGAGCACTTCCTTCATGTTGGGCACAGTGCCAGGCATGGGGATGTGGCAGCAGAGTGAAGAGCTCCTTTGCTCATGGGCTCAGGGTTTGGGGAACACAAACAGTACGCAATTATACAAATAAATAGAAACTGTGATACGTGCTGCAAAGATATCACAGAGGGTGTCAGGAGAGAAAATAATAGGTTGAAACTAAATTGGATTGAGAGTGAGAACATGTCTCTCTGAGAGAGCAAGAACTTTAAGCTGAAACCTCAGGGGCAAGAAAAAATTAGCCAGTTGAAAAATAAACCAGAACCTAGTATTTCAAGTAGAGGAAACAGCTGACAGAAAACTCTGAGATATGAAATCACACAGAGATTTAGGACATTGTCTGAGATGAGGTTGGAAAGAGTGGGCAGAAACTACATGATGGGAAGCCTGAGGCCAGAGTAGGTACTTTTATCCTAAATACAATAAAAATCTGACAGTGAAGGAGACTCAGAGAGACAGAGACAGGTAGGTGTGGAGAGGAGTTGTGTGCAATTCACAAAAGACAAGATGCTGAATAGGTGAGAGGTTTGGCTTTTTTCCATATTTTTGTTTTGTAAAACAAATTTTGTAAAAATTTGGCTTTTTTGAAAAGGCCAGATTCTTGGGAGATAATTTCAGACAAGAGTATATGTGGAATTTGAGCATTTTGAAAATGTGTTTTAAAAGGCTTCCTATACCTCCTAGGAGTACTCATACATCAATTTGAAGATCGCTGACATAAAACTGAGTACCTGATCTTAGACAGTTGGTAATATAGGTAGAAAGAGAAGTCACAGGCCTATGAAAATTCAATTAATCATAAAATATTTAAATAATAGTTCAATACAATAATAAAACTATAATAAGCAAGGTATATGAAATTGCCATGTTTAATTGCTTAATTAATTGTGCAGAAAATGATTGGTCAGAGGTCCCCAGTGGTCAGGGCATTCTTTGGGTATCTTAAATCCTGGGGGAATTTGAATGGTCTGAAGGAAGGATTTATGATATTTCAAGACTAACAGTAATACAGATTCATTGAAGGAGAAATTGAAAGATGATTTTAGTGACTACAATTTGGTGAAACGATCAGAAGACAATTTGATTACAAAGAGTTGGAATGCAACCCTTAAGATTTTTTTAATTAAAAATTTTAATTGATAAATATTAATTGAACATATATATTTATGGGGTACAATGTGATATTTTAACATATGTTTACATTTGTGGAATGATTAAGTCAAACTATAAATCCACTATCTCACATACTTGTTTTTTTGTGGCGAAAACACTTAAAACCCTCTCTTTCAGTAGTTTTGAAATAGAAAGCATACATTTATCACATGCTCAGTAAACTGACCAGGCATAGTAAGACAAATGCTACATAATCTCACTTATATGTAGATGCTAAATATGTTGAACTCATGGAAGTAAAGAAGCCAGAAGGTACCAGAAGCCAGGGGTAGCAGATTGGATACAAAAAAAGGGAGATATTGATCAAAGGTACAAAATTTCTGTTAGACAACCTTCAGAAACTGTACTACACTTTGTGGGTCTTGGGGACTCACTGTGGACTTTGGAGTAGGGAAATACTAGGATAAAATTAACATGTTAAACATATCCTGGGAAAGCCTAACAAAGGGATTTGAAAAAGCAAAAGGTCAAATTTAGAGGCATAGAATAAAAGTCCAACCCTGAGGCTATAAATGGCTTATGCAATGGATATGAAAATGGAAAGAAGGAAGGAATATTTTTGAAATATCCAGCGAAAATAAAACAAAACAACACAAAACAGAAAGACAAGACTGGGTAATTGTTTAGATGTAGACACTCAAGGGAAAGTGAGAAGTCCTAGAAAACAAATTTGTGCCTCATAAATTTTAGGAATGCTTTTTGTGATTATTTAATCAATTTGTTTGTTATAGTAGTAGTCGTGTTAGCAATGCAAATCTCAGAGCCAGGAGCTGATGGTACCTGTATCTCCAGTGTTGTGAAATTCTGGTATTTAGACTTGCGTGTACTACAACCTGGTGTTTACCTTGCTTGACATTGTTTACTTACTCTCACTAACTAATATTTTCCCTGAGGTACAGTACTCATTATCAAACCTAAAGTATAGTAGTCATTACTTAGTGGCCAAACTTCTTTAATGTAATTTTTCATATGTCTGTCTTCTAACAGGCACAACTTAGGCAATAATGACCCCCATCAATGCTATAACGTTTTCTATCCAGAAAATAAAATTAGAACATTAGTCAGAAATATGAACTATCTTACTTCTTTTCATTCACTGACAACTTTCCAATATAATAGATAGACCTAAGCACAGTTCATTCCCAAACAATATTATGGTTTAATAAAACCTCCAACCAGAATATCATCTTGTTTACTCTTTAGACAATTTTTCAAAGTGCTGTTTAAAGAAATATTTTGCCAAAATTAACCCAGATTCAGAAGGCTAAAGAATAAAAATAATTAGAATAAAAAATCACCCTTAACAGTAACATTCAAATATAACCTTTTTTCATATTTTACCACTTATCCTCTCAGCTTATTTTGTCTGCATATACATAAAATATCTCTTTTGTTATAGAAATGAGATCTTATTTTATATCTAAAAATGTAATTGTTTTATTTGTACTGTTCTGTGACCAGTTTTTTTCAATTCATTATTTTTGTGAATGTCTTCTGAATGAATAATTGTAGAATAACATCATCCCTATAATGTCAATGAAAGTTTTAGTAACCTTCCAGTTTTGTGAGTCTCGGTGGTTTCCAATATTTTATATAGTAAATACAATTATTGAATATTATTTGCATACTCACATACAAACATACAGGAATATCATAACTCTGGTGTAATAAATATTTATTCACATGTATATATATACGTATGTGTGTGTAATCACACAATTGTTTATCATCTGAGAGTAAGTTTCTAAGAGCGACATTGTTAGGTCAAAGTTGTGCAGCTTTAAGGTGTATACATATTTTCAAATTGCCTTACATAATTCCATTTTTTCCTCCCCCCAGCAGGATATGTAAACACCCATCCCATCACTCTTTCTATAATTAAAAAAAAAATGGGCTTTACCGCTAATACTTATTCTTGCAATCTATTAGCTAGTACATGTTATCTTTTGAGCTTTGGTTTACATTTGAGGGGGATTTACTTGTAGGTAAACCTTATTTTATGTGTATTGGTCATTTATATTTTCACTTTTTGAACTGTCTGTTCACATTCTTAGCACAGTTTCTACCAGAGTGCAAACTATTTTCTTAAGTATATTTTCTGATTATCAGACAATACAACCAGTTTCAACAGCGTATTAAAATAGTGGAGTTTCTTATATCTGCTATTATTATGAAAAAATTATATGACATAATAAAATGTCAAGATGCTAAATGCCTAGTATTGTCTAACTTTAATATTTCCAATTTTACTAAACTCTTTGTTTAATAGCTGCTTTACTTAAATAAGTGGTAACATTTATCAACATTGTCTTATGTAATTTATTTTATTCTTTAATGAGGATTAGATTTTTTTAAAAAAACTGAAAATATATCAAAGAGAAGTATATACAACAAAATATTTCTTGTCAAAGCCACATTTAAGTGACTGCCCTTTATTGCCACTAAAGGGGAACCTTATTTTTGGCTGTATCAAAGTATGCAGCACAATGTGGAAAATTTCAAAGTTTGTTAGCATAAATATCATAAAACCCCAAATCCCCACTCACGCCCTTAATGGCTGATAGGAGCTGAGTTTTCACCCTTCTCATATTGGCACTCCTTTCCAAGTATTGTGCCTACTGCCTGCCAAAGTAATGCTTTTTCATTTTAGCACAAAATCTTGGTTACTAAGGAGTATAAAAACCTATTCCTTTCATAGCTAGACACTTACATGAAAAGTGAAGGATGAGGGACAATTTGAGATTGGCAATGGAAGATCAGATTGCAGTGGAGCTCATGGAACAATCAAGTTAGAACAGAGTCTTCAAGAGAGGGTAGGAAGAAAATATTCCTGCAAAGCATTGAGAGTCACAGCTCTCAAGTATCTACAGAAGATCAATGACAACAGTGACTTATTAATGTAGTTCAATAAATGTTCTCTTACATGTATAATAAAAGATATGTTAATACTATTAAATAATTTATTTCATAATGAACAGTTCATTCATGAATATTTCCCATATAATTGTGGAAGAGATAAACATCACAAGTGTCTGTGCCTTTGATCACATAGACTTGAATTGTCCTATAGGATAAAATAAATATTGCAGTCACCTTCCTTTATTCAATTTATGTTTATTTATCAGCAGCATTTTCAGGTTATTTTTTGGATAATAGATATGCACACACACACAAAAAAAACAAAACTCCTGCCCTTCAATTTCCTTCTAATTAAAGAGACTGATAACAAACATATGGTTATGGAATATAATGAGAGATAATAAGTGCAATGGATAAAAATTATGGCACAGTAAGAAGCTAGGCAAATGGAGGCTTATTATTATACAGGATGGTCAGTTAGGAACCCTATGAGGAAATGACATTTAAGTATGGCCTTAGGAGACCTAAGCATCAAACTAGAGTTCAGAGTATTAAAAGTTGAGGGCAAAGCAAATGGGGTGGTCATGAGACAGGAGTGTGCTTGGTTCTCAGCATGTTCAGGGGTTATTTAGAAACTTGTGTTACTTCCTTATTTTTCTATTGGATTGATTTTTTTTTTTCTCAAAGTTAACACCCAAATCTATTAATTGACTCAGATGGCTAGAAAGTGGGAAACATCAAAGTTGTATTCATTGATACATTTGCTTTCAGACATACTTGTTTATGTTACAACTGAAAGACAAAAGCTGTAAAAGGTAGATGTCAGAAAGATGGTATCAATCAGGATAGGTAAAATAGACACAAAAGTATAAATTGTTTATGAATAAATTTTAAGAGTAACATTTTAGTGGTGTTACTAATAACTTGTAACAATGATTAAACAAAGTCACATTGTTTTACAGCTCCAAATATTAAAATTTTGACTTCATTTAATTCATCATTTTGTTTGCCATGACTCAAGTTACGACTAAAAAAAACCAAGGTAGAATCTTTGAACAACATTGCTTCCAAAAGTTGGGCCCACATTTGGTTCCTGAATTTTACTGATGGCCGATCAACCTGAGACTATGAGCTTGTACAGTGACACCTAATGAAATCAGTTATATGATATTCATATTTTAGATTATATTTTGTTTGGTGCTCCAGTCTGATGTTAAGTAAATATTCTTAAATGAACAGGAGTGACCACAGAGAATGGGTTTGTTGAAAACATTTGCAAGATTAACCCAAAATTGCGAAGCACAGCTTTCTTATTTCCTTGTAACTACATAGATATTTTACATATATAATTATATGGATATCTAAAAAAGTAGTATGTACTGTTGTAAAACTGTATACATGACCATCAATTAATTTGGAATTTCAAAATATTTCAAATGACTTCTCAAAAGCATATGCAAATAATAAAATGTCAATATTTTCTGTGCATTTTATGATTTTGCTGATGAAGGTATTTTCTACATGAATACCTTTTAATGAAGTATCAAGAAAACCACAAAGCACTTAATTCATCAAGATGTTAGCCTGTCAGTTCTTCATTTTGGGTTCCACACATCAAGAGAATTTGCTAAATATTCAAGAGAAAATCATGACTTTTACATCCTCAGGCATTCATCTTGAGCTAAAGAATTTGAGAATTGAAATCTTGGCAGAGGTTAACTTACAGGTAAGTATAATTGCTTGAATATTTTACTCATGATGTTCAATTTTAAATCCTTCAAATACTGTTGTCCTAATAAAATAGAATATTTTATGCTTCTTTCCACAGGCAAGAGCAATCCATCTGAGGGACTACATCATGACTGAAGACTTCTGTCCCAAACTTTTTTAAAGGAACTTTGTTATACCAAAGTTAACAATCTTTAGAAAGATGTAACACTCATTTTGATAGCTAGATAAATCAAGAGAGGGTATTTCCTTATAGCTGCAATGAAATCTGTAATGAATTTACAGTCATTTGTTTGTTTTACTTAATTCAATTAAACAGATATGCTAAATGTTGCAAGAGATGTAAATTTTTGTACACTATTCTTGATCTTAGAGGTTAAGAGGTACAAGACATTAGTAAAATCCATGATGCAGGGTAGATAGTTGTAAACTCAAAAAATAAATAAGCAAAAAGGGAAAGGCAGAGTGAGAGAGATTTTTTTTAAATGCATTAATAATTAATGAAAGAAAATGCCTAGTATTGATTCTCAAAGATGATCTCATAGAGCAAATAGCGTCATAAATGCCATAAATGGATCTTAAATTAAAAGATAGTTATGACAGTCATAGAGGGTGGTGGAAAATTTAGCAGGTGAAAGAAAAATACTACAAGCTAACTTGAAGATGGAAAAGCAGGGGACAGTTTTTTGAAGTAGCAAATGAACTAAATGTAGGAACAGTATATTAGTCCATTTTCATGCTGCTAACAAAGACATACCTGAGACTGGGAAGCAAAAGAGGTTTAATGGACTTACAGTTCCACATGGTTGAGGAGGCCTCACCATTGTGGCAGAGGACAAGGAGGAGCAAGTCACATCTTACATGGATGGCAGCAGGCAAAGAAAGAGAACCTGTGAAAAGAAACTCCTGATTTTAAAACCATCAGATCTCGTGAGACTTACTCGCTATCACAAGAACAGCATGGGAAAGACCCACCTCCATGATTCAGTTATTTCTCACTAGGTTCTTCCCAAAACATGTGAGAACTATGGGACCTACAAGATGAGATTTGGGTGGGGACACAGAGCTAAACCATATCAAATAGGAAAGAGTAAAATTAGAAATCCAACATTATTTTATCACAATACTGGGAAAGCAATGTATATATTTGAGGATCCTGATTTAAAATTTAGTTTAAGACTAATCTAACAATGCTGGTCTGGAATGAATTTTATTAGAGAAATTATAAGAAAAACCTAGACAAGAATTAACAGGGCAAATTTTAAAATGAAAAGTATATGAGACATTATGATGGTAGAATATGTATGATCAAACAACTTAATGAATGTTTAAGTGAGAAGGAAGGATTCAGATGACTTCAAACTGGTGACTAAGAAATTGGTAGTACCATTAATAAAAATAGAGAGTTCAGGTTTAGTTAATACTTACGAGGAAAACAAAACATTTATGAGTGTCTTGAATTTAACCCACCATCATAATAGCTCTGTGGATTTGTACAACTCACTGCTGAAAAGCTGTGTCTGGAGTGGAGGAAGAGAAGAGGGAGATGCTGAAGAGAAAGGAGGTAAAGAAGTGGTCATAGAAGAGTCAGGAAAGTGAGGAATGAAGATGAGGGAGCCAAGAGTAATCTTACAGCCTGCAGTTACTGCAGAAGGGTGGAAGAGCCAAAGGTGGAGAACAAGAAGATATGGGTGATCTGCTAGAGCAGCACTGTCCAGGAATGTGTCCATGCACTGATGAAAATGTTCTGTCCCTGCTGTCCAGTCTGGTGTCAAGCAATCACATGTAACTATTGAGGAACTGTATTTTTCATTGTATGTAATTTTAATTAGTTTAAATTTAAATACCCTCATGCAGCTAGTGTCTGCAGAATTGATAAATGCAGCTATAGAGACTTTTATAGACAACACCTTTGTCTCACTGAAATTGTTTCCACTAAGTCATCAAGTGACATCCCTAAAATATAGATTGGGACATCTCCTTCTTAAAACTCTCCAGTGGCTTTTTATTGTCTGGGAATAGAATTCAAACTGCTGAAGCACAGTAAAAACAAGGCATTTCCAGCCTTACTCTATCCACCTAAAGCCCCAGCCACAGCAGCCTCTGAGTTCCAACAGGCCGAACCCTTTCCTGGTCAAGGCCTTTGTGTTCTTGCTCTTGCTTTTCATCTTTGGGGCCTCCAGTTAAGTGTCACTTCTCAGAGAGGTCTTCCTTGAACCCCTTATCTGAATTAGCCAGGTCATTGCTATTAGCCTTCAATTCAACACGCTTTATTTCCTTTATGGCATAGATCATAATTTCTATTCATTTATTTATTTATTTTCCTTAGCTTCCACCACTGGATTGTAAACTCTCTAAGAGCAGGTATCCTGTGTGTCTTACATTTCTCATACCTCTCAGAGGGCCTGGGTAGTGCAATGAATATTGGTTGGGTGTTGATAAATACCAAAAAGACTACCACATTAAAGAATATGTAACTACTAAGCAGAAGGTTCCAAACAAGTTTATTGTTGCTGTCAGTATATTTCAGCAAAAAATTCTCGGAAACTTATATAGACAAATTGGCAAAATATATACCTCGAAAACTTTATTAGGACAGAAGAAACTGAAATAGTATCAGTTGAAAGATGCAATTTGGACAGTACTTAATGGGGAAGAAAGTTACATAATTTTTGTACTTTATAAAGTCTCAAATAGAGTCCCCACCCTCTCTATTCCACCTAACTTCTGCACCACAGGAATAATTTATTACTTAGCTACTCCTCTAATGCCTGCCTTCGTTTTATTCTCTGGACCTCTATGACCCTCAAAAACATTGGTAAATTTTTGCTCAGGGTATTTTCTGGAATTTCAATAACAATAAGAGATTAACATCATTGTCATTACTATGTAGAAAACAAAATCAAACAAAACTCTCAGATGGGCAGTTTATTAGAGAAAGAGAAAGGATCTGCTATTGCTTGGAAATGCATGAAAAATAAGACTGATTTATTACCCAGAAAATAGTTGTTTATTTTCATCAAGTTAGTGAAATAAAGCAGCTGCCCTATCAAATTGCTTTCATTACCTAAGTAACCAGAAATTGGTACTTTAAATAAAATTTTATTTCACTAGAAATGAAATTGATGGTGTAATATTTTTAGGTTTTTAAAATAAAAGACCTTGTTTGAGATATATCTTTAAAGTCAAATATAAAAAGAATTATATATGAAAGTCAGTATTTTTCCTTAGTATTCAAAATGAGGGTACATATCTACCTACAAAGAAAGAAAGAAAACCTGTCTCCAGGACAACCAGCTCTTTTTTTTTTTTTTTTTTTCACTGTTGTGCTTTCTGTCCCACTGCTGTGAATGTTTTAAAAAAAGAAAAGAAACAAAGAGGAGGAGAGAGAAAGAAAGGACAATAGAAAGGAATACACTATAATAAGTATTATGCTTTTACAAAACAAAGCGAGCATGTTTTAATCTCAAAATATGAGTTTAATTAATACTAACTTATTTCCAAATATAAGTTAAAAATTACATTCTATGTACTTAAATTGTTATAGCAATGTATAGCTTTTGTAAATATTAAGGGCCTGGAAAATAACATTGGAATTTATAAACAGATTATAATTCTAACCCTAACTTTATTCAAACAGTGTACTTTTTTTTTTTTTTTTTGGTCGCAAAAACACCCAGTACCTTTACTTAAGCTTCACCCACTTAACAATACGCTCAATATGAGCAGTTTGACTCCCAAGCCTAGGTCAGGCCTGAGTGTTTCTCATGAGCCATAGTCTTAAGCTGAGGAGCCTTGAGAGTTTGTGGAGGGAGAGCCCCCCTGCCCGCAGGGGGCTGTGATCACAGAAGTCTGTGGAAAGAGTGGGATCTAAGGAGTCCTGGGAGGCAGGCCTAAAGGTCCAGGCCTGGCATGATCAGTGTCCAGGGAAGGCCCCCAGTTCCTATGGCTCTGTGCATAGGGGCCATTTGTTCTTGACCGACTTCACTCCAAGGGTCTGTCGTGGACCAAAGCTAGGGAGTGGGCAGAAGGTGATGGCTGGTTGGAGAGAAGCTAGGCCATCTAGTGGGGGAGGATGGTTGGAACATAGCATTGAAGTGGGCTCGACTTTCAAGCTGCATACGGTGGCCCAGTGGGGAGGCAAGTCCACGGACAAAATGGATTCGAACCAGATCTGACTGCCCCCCAGATACCAGCCATCCATAGGAGTCCAGGTTTGGGCTGAAACGTACCTTATGAATAGCCCCCAGCTGCAGCCTGTCCAGGCAGAGTTGAGAATGCCCCTCTCCCTCCTGCATGCGCAGCATTGGTTCTCTCCGGAGCAGATCATGGAATGAACCCAAATCTGTGTCTTGAAAGAGCAAGTAGTGATGGCTGACAGTTTCAGTATAAGTTCGAGCCTTGGGAGGGTCAGGGACCCCAGATGAAGCAGAAGAATGGTCTGGACCTTCAGGACTGTCCTGATATGGTATCAGATCTGCTTTATATATAGGAAATCTTCGCTCTACAGGTCGCTTGACATTTATTGGATTCAGTGCCGTATCTGGCAATATAGCAGCAATGAGCTCCCCAGATATATCTCCTGCAGCTATGGTCCCAAGCCTTTCTTCTTCAAATACTTAGTCTGGTATTTAACTTCATTACCCTCAAAGTCAGTTTGAAAACCATAAAATGTCTTAAATGAGCATAGATGCTGTATGTATCAATAACAGGGTTTATTTTTAAATGATATATTTTAATAATATAAAGTTAATCTTTAGATGTAAAAAGTAATCCTGGTACATTTTTCCCCAAATGTAGATAATCTTATGAATACTGATATGAAATAACATTTCTTTTGAAATAATTTTTTAATCACACAGAATTAAGCATGATTGTTCCATGACCCATTGCTTGGCACATGGTGTCTACTGAATGAGATAACATTAATATGTCCTCATGTAGAAATACATTGCTTGCTGACCAATGCCCCACATTTAGAAAAAGCAAAATGGTGCTTTATTTTAGCTTCTAAATGATAAGTTTGGATATAAAATATGGGCCTATTATATGACCTGTGTAAAGTTTTGCTGGTTTAATTGTTGAACTTCCAGGACATCTATTCTAGAGAAAGATTCCTGTACTATATTGAGTTACAATGTTTATGTCATTAATTTTTCTAGATTATACCTCTTTAGAAAATGTGAGAAAATAAAAAAACAGATAACTCCAAAGTGCTGAATATTATAGGAAGAGCTCTCAAAGACTGCACACTGTTCTCTCTATCTGCCTCCCTTACCCAAAGGGGCATATTAGAAAGTAGATAATTACCGTATGAACTCATGTTGTATACACAGATGGATTGGTTGGTATAGAAAAAAATTGCATTCATGGCCTGTGAAATGCAGATGAAGTAATTATTTAGATAGCTCCATCAAAATACTAATTCTTTCTGTTCTCAAAAATTTAAAT